TGTGATTAAATTAAGTGATTAATTGCTGCCTCAGACTTTTTTACTACATGGGAGGAATACTGAACAATCAGACAATGAATTTAATATACACACCTTTGAAATATACATACATAATATAAGTATTACTCTATTCCTTGCAAGCAACTGTTGCTGACTGTAAGTAAACAGAATGTGGTGAAGTAATGGGATTTTAATTGTTTTTACAGGTCTGAAATCCTGTCATGGCTTCCTGCTTCAGTACTGTTTGTTGGTATTATTTATGCTGGCTCTAGGGCACTGTCTAGATTGGTAAGAAATGCACAAGTCAGTTCTTTATTGCCTCTACTTTATAAGCAAAGAATATTCCCTTCATACAAGGTGTTTAATGCTGTTTCTGGCTTGAGGGGGAAGAAGGGAGGAGGGCTTTAAATAATGCATACATTGTTAATGGTGCTAGAGCAGCAGCAGTCCAATCCTGTGAAGTGTAGAGCAGTATCAAAAAGCACTTCCATGACAGTCCAAAGCACTCAGCATCTCTTCAGAGTGCTCAGCATTTTGCAGAACAGATCCTCAGTGGTCTGAACTGTGCAAGTAGGGAAGAAACTGAAGAAGTTACTATCTGTAACTTTACAAAAGGGAGAATGGGGCTGCAGGATCTGTGGGAAATCCTTGCAGGAAAAGGATGAAGATCATTTCAGTGAGAGGCTTTTGATGCTTTACAGAGTTAGAAAAAATGAATTGAAAGTTGGAAAGAGATTATGGGAAGGGTTAGATTAATCAGTATTATGATCCTTTTGAATCACAGTAACCTACCAGATGTTTAGAGAATATAAAATCTGCTTTTGTTGAAGTTGAATGTTTTTTACTTTAATGATATAGAATTTCTTGAAAAAAAAAAAAAAAAATTGGTGACATGAGTTGTTAAAATCAGGAATGTTTTACTGCTGTTATGCAGTGTGCAAGGCCAGATTCTGCACTAGTTCCTTTCTGCATTCTGTCAATGCATCTTAATCTAAGTCCAGAGCCAGCTCACTCCTGCCAGCTCCTAAACCCCAAGAAGGATCAAAAGAGAATTTTTGACAAGGTTCTGCTTGTTGTGATCCCTTGAACATCCCAGTGGGGAGGTAGGGCAGAGGAGGACAGGAGGCTTCTGTCCTCATAAACAAGGCAGGGGGCCTCATCTCAGACCAAAGTGACCTTTGGAAGGCACAGGCATGTGCTCAGAAGCCCCATACCTCCAGATTACCTTTGCCTGGGGTGGTTGCATTTACTTCCTCTTGGTTCCTTGTCAAAGCAAGTTCCATTGGGCTTCCCTGATGTAAACTGAGCAAAGATCCCTAAGGAGAGCCTCGTCTCGAAGCAGCAATAAAGCCTTGTCAGCAGCATCTTTTCTGACTGCTCATCTGGGAGGTGGAGGAGGTGTGAATCACATCCTCTCTGCTATTTCTTCTTACTTCCTAGTCATCCTGTAAGTTACCTGGTTTCCCTCCTGTCCCTGCTCTGGTCATTCAAGAGTGAGATGCACTGGAGTGGCAGAGGAGCTGCAAATGGTTTTGATTTATATCCTAAACCTTTCTTAAGGAGCATCTCCCATTTCTGAATGGCTCTGTTGTACATGAAAGGGGATTTAGAGACTAATTCTGTGGCGATTTTAGGAGGAAAGACAAAAGGACAAGTAGTCTTAGGTCATGGTTACTATGTAATGCCCTGTACTGAGGCTAAATTAAATCCTACATAGAAGCTTTACTTACAGTAACTTTGTGTATGACAATTTTATGACACAGTGAGAAGGAAAATGGACTCTCAAACTGATGCCTGAGTTGGCTCACCTCAGCAGTGCATTTGAATTAAGTGGGTTTATTCCTTAAGCAGAAGTTACCTGCCCTTTCTTGATCAAAGCCAGGGAGACCCACTTTCAAACACTCCTGTATACTGGCAGGGGTACAATCTTAATCTCTTTGTGCCTCTCCCTAGAGGTGCTGGCAGTCTCCCCTGCCCAGGAGTTCAGGGCTGGAACTGGAGGAAGGCTGCTTAGCTCTGGACTGTGATGCATTAACAAAAGTATGCAGAGCTGTGAGGGGAGGTTTGTACAGAGTCTATTCACCCTGCCTGCCCGACCAGTAAACCTTTATTTTCGTAAGCATTAAGCCCACTCACAAATTGAAGAAATACTCACATCAAAGACAATAGACATATGGAGAAGGTTAACTGGGCTAGGCAAACTGGAGCCGTTGTTGGCTCCAAAACATATTTGGAAGAGCCAAGGGTGGGCGGGAAGAAAAAAAACAATAAATTGGCTTCACAAAAGGAAGAATGTAAATTCTGCTGTCAGCTTTCCTTGTGTATGGTTATTTTCTGTATTTCCTATTGCTGTGTCAGGCTCAGGATGCTTATGTTGGATACCTCTGGTTTTATCTTTTCAGTTGTCCAGCAATAGGGTTGAGAGTTAGATTTCAGAATCGGTGAAGCTGAGGCTGACAACTTCATGCCAGTTGTGTTTGTGTGATTTTAATTCCTTGCTAATTTAGAGGTGTTAAAAGTTATCGTGGTGTAACTGTTGCGTTTACGGATCCACCCAAGTTGTCATTATGACTTAAAATGTTTAATTAGCGATGCTTATCTAGCTTTATGGGAATAAAAAGAAAAATACACAAAATACAGATTTTTGAATACAAAGTCAAATTTAAGAGATATTTGCTGTTTATATCACCTGATACTTAAAAGGCATGGACATCACTGGAAAAATTAACTCATTCTCTACTCGTGATTTAAATACCTTGCACAAGTGGGGAAGTACTGCTTCCTAAAACTACCTTAGTCTTTAGATTATCTTAATTGGATTGGGGAATTGCTTCTGTTTCAACTGTCTGAGAGACCATGGAGGAAGTACTATGAACCACTAATTCTGGTTGGGTTTGCCTGGGGCAGTAGGTGTTTGATTCATTACTGTTATCATTGGGGTTGGTTTCTTAATGATTTCATGTTGGGATGGTGTCCAGGTACCTCAGTGGGTATAATTTCAACATCATTTGTGTATGAACTATTAAATTTCTACCGTAATTTCGGGCAGCTCTTCCTAGCTGTAACTGAAAGCAATCACCTAAAATAATCTTGCCCGTAATTGTGTTGCTAGGAGTCACACTGTATTCTTAGTACAAGTAGACAGAGATGGGAAGACTAATGAGATCTGTTTACTGTGGAGGCTGCAGATATTTGAACAGCGAGGCAAAATTAGAGGCAGAAACCTGGGGCAAATCTCACTGAGGTAGCTGTATACAAACAAACTGGCTGAGCCATCGGAAGCTGGAGAAGCAAGTAGGGTCTGCATTTAAAGATACCTGTGCCGTGTCATAGTGATTGGAATGGATCTAAGTCCCTTTCAGTAGATGTGACATGGGTTTACAGCTTAAGAAACAAAACAAAACCCAAAACCACAAACATGTGGGACAGCTGGAGTCCCTTTTAGGAGATGTGACATGGGTTTACAGTTTAAGAAACAAAACAAAACCAAACCCAAAACCACAAACATGTGGGACAGCTGTCTCTTAAGAGGAATGCCCCTTAGTATGTGTCTGATTGTTCTGAGTTAATTTGAGCATTTTTGTTCTTTCCCAATGGCAGCCAATCCCGGTGTTCCTCACTGTGCACAATGCAGCAGAAGTTATAACCTGTGGCTTCCAGAAGTTTGTGCAGAAAGAGGTAATTGATGTATTAATTGATATATTTGTGGTACCTCCTGTGATATAATTGCCTTTAACAATACGGGCATTAGTGCCATGTGCTTTTCTAGTCTTGCTGTGATAGCTAGTCATTAATGAGATCCAGAGAGAGCTTTGCTGTTGTCTGTGTTGATGTTTTCTTTTCCTCTTTAGTTGATGAAACACTGCAAATGTGTATCAACAGTTTGGTCTGCATTTTTAAGACTGGCTTGGTCTGTGGTTTTTTTTTCCTCTTGAAAATTAATATCACCTCTCTCTCATGCCCCACATAAGAATCTCATTGTTTGAGCTGAGAAGGAGGAGGATTGGGTCCTTAGATCTGATCAGTGTAATATACCTAGTATTTAATGTATTGTATGATTATAGATAGATTACATCTCCACATGAAATGCAGGAAGAACAGTGCATTTTTGGATTTGTATTGAATGCTTGAGAATCTGTCCCAAGACTTATTAAAGTCAGGGCTCCCTTTAGTACGAACTGGGTTTGTTTCTCACAAACTGCATTTGGGATCCTTCATTTTAGGCTATGAAATGTTTTTCTAATTGTCGCAAGAGCTGTTGTGTGAGGCGGCACTGGGAAATCGTTAAGCACAGAGTTGTTTGTGCAGTGACCCCTGGCTTCCTGTGGAAGGGATCTTCCATTCTTTACCTCTGTTGTGTATATAGAAGGCAATTAAATGGCCCGTGTTTGCTACTCCTAACAAACTGAAGAGGTCACTAAGGTTATGCCTAAGGGACATAGGATTGTGTACCATGGCATGTCCCTGTGGCATTGTCCTCTGATTAGTGTCCCTGTCAAAAGTGTTTCATATTTTCTTTCTAGCTCACATGTTTATGTCTTCTCTCGTGGAAAACAAAAGCACTATGGACAAGGATAATGCAAACAAAGGTCTTGCTAGGAAGCTTCTGGAGAATAATTTTGGACCAAAGGTTTGGGAATCTCTCAGGAGTTTAGACCAAGACTGATTTGGCTGGGGTATTACCTAATTAATACTCAAGTACTCAATACTCAAGTATTGTATGTACTCAATACTTTGAGTACATACAATACATAGTTTTGGTATAGTTCAAGTTAAGCTTGAGGACCAGGTATAAAGTTCATGTCTGGTTTTAGGTGTACCTGCTGGTAAGTAATCTGAAAATACAAATCAAGTTGAAGTAGGCTAATCTGTAGTCCTGGTTTGGGTTTTTTTTCAAATTACATTTGCTAACCAGTGCTCAAACATAATGGACTGTTGAATGTTACTCGCAGGATTTTTAATGTATTTGGTGCACTAAGATCAACTGTCATCACTTTCCTGTTTTTGGAAGGAGAAAGCACTATTTCACAATTTTTAATTGGAAATTTTAATTTTTTTAATCATACTTTCTTTTTTACAGCAAACCTCTCATCTTAAAGTCTGTAGGTAAGCTTTAAAAACTGCTCAGATTCAAATTCAGACTTGTTTTGGCTCCAGCTTCTGTATTTGCTTCAGATAATGGCACACCACAACAATGAAGAATGTAAGGCACATTCCTGTGGGCGGTGACCCTAAATTGCAACATAGGAGTAATTAAGCATTTTAAAATGTATTTTCTCTTTTTTCTTTTTTCTTTTATTTTTTTTTTTAAATAGCAGTTACTTAAATAGATACTTTTTTTTTCTCCTTCTAAAAATTAAAAAAGCCAAAAGGCCAGTCTTCCTGAATAACAAAGCTGTGTTTGTAAGTATGCTTTTGGAAAGGAGATAGAAATCAGGTTTGAAGTTCCAGTGGGTAATCTTAAGCAGTAAGAGAAAGATAATTAATGTGATAAAAAATAGCTAAAAATGCCTTTCTTAGGAAAGAAAAGGTGAATGATATCCAGTTCTGCTAGAATTATTCATATTAAGCTGCACAACCTACCAACCCTTGTTGGTCCTAGTTGTGTAGGCTTCAAAGAAGAGATAGAAAGGGGCAAACAGAAGTCAGCCAGTCATGTATTAAAAGTTTGATTCTTCCCCCCCATCCCTTTGAAGAACACCTAATTGCTGTGCTCCACATTCTGTGATCTTTTAGCTGCACTTAGAGTGGATAACATTGGGTTATTATTTAGTGTACTTAGAGGCATCATCTTCCTAATTTCTTCCTGTTGCTTCCATTATCTGACTTACTGTGGCCTCATTTTCACCACTGGATCACTGTCAAAGCTACCAGGTTTTTTATCGTCTTTGTTCTGTCTTTTCCTATGCCCCTAGAGAGCAGGAAAATAAACTGCAAAAGCAAATGTTTGTTATGATTAATAGTGGCAGTCCACAGAAACTCCACACCAGTGTATTCAGTGTAGCCTGTACTGATTCAGCCACAGGTTAAGAATTTATTTAGTCCAAGTCAGTGGACTAGAGGAGAACATGTGGTGTCCTTAAGCCATTTCTGGTGTAATACCACTCACTCCCACTTTGCTCTGTGTTCTGGAGTTACACCATAACTTTTAATGAAGTCACCTCTGCTGGCACTGTTGTAATAGGCAATTCACCTTAAAGAACTTTTTGGTAGCCATTTACAGCCAGAAATTGGTTGATTTTGATTTTCTGAAGCAGTCTAGGGAAGCCAGATGGCAAGTGAAGAATAATATTCCCTACCAAAAAACTTGTTTTCATCACTGCTGAGATGTTTTGTGCTGTTTCTCTTCTCATACAACTTTGCTGTGTATGAGTTATGAAAGATGCATGATGTAAAAATTTTATTGACAGAGATTACTTTCTAAATATGGAATAAAAACGAAACAAATGAAATGCCAGTGTAAAATTGAGTGGAATTGCCTATACTCTTGGTTTTTTTTTTTTTCTCTTCTCCACAGTGTGCTGTTCCTCTTGGCAGCAGCAGTGTGCCTTCCTTTATGTGACACGCAGGTGAGCTCTACTTTTTAAAGCAGCTCTAGCTAGACCTTGTTTGACATCTTGCCTAGTGTGTCAGGGGTGCAGCTTTTACTTGTAACCTAGGGTGGGATTCCTGCGAAGGAACTGTAAATGTTGCCTCTTACTGTGTAGTAGTCTTGCTGGTTTTAATGTGTTTACATCATGGTACAACCTCTGAGCAGTGTGGATATACAGCTCTTTGATGAAGGTGGTGGCTGGGCAAACCACAGTTTAACTTCTTATAGAGCTTAGAGCATATCACTTAGGTTTGAATTAATTGCATGTACTTTCAAGAGGTTCCTAAATTAGCTTTGCAGTCACTCGACATGCTTTCAGTAGTTACTGGAGAAAGAAAGGTGGTACCTCCAAAGAGTGTTGAGTCCAGCAAAGATCTATTCCTTGGAGGTGCTATTCTCTTTTGGAGACTTAGGAAGGCTGCTTCCTTGTTTTAGATACTTTAGTTAGTATCTTAAGTTAGGTGGGATGAATCTGAGAACTTGTCTCGGTGCATCTAATGAAATGCAGCCATCAGAAGTGTTGCAGCAGTGCTAGCTCCCTTCACAGTCCATGGTGCAGAGCAGGAACTTCTGGTGTACAATTTATCTCCCCTGAAAGCAGACATCTAAAATATTTTAAAATAAATTATTCTCAAAAATGTTTATTTTTCCACATTGATTGTGCGGAGAGCCTGCCTTGCTCAGAGACAGATGTCTGTTTAAAGCATTGTTTTGGTTACTGTTTGATAAGTTGGAGCCTTGGGGAGAGAGACTACTTAGCTGCTGCGGGGACTGAGAGGGGAAAGGAGACAAGGCAAAAACTCTCACACCTCTCTGACCGCCAATACGAGACTAAACAGACTGGAGTCCATATGCTCGGATTATTTAAAGTGGTGTACATATCTGAAGAAACAGAGCTATTCTTGCCAAGACTAGCTGAGAGCCTGGGTACCCAGTGTATGCCAGGTCTCTAAGCGGGACAGGAAAAGGTTTAGTCTTCCCGGTCTTCTTTGGTCGTCTTCTCTTTGTAGCCTGGCTCCCACTCGCTGTACTTGCTTTGTGGAGCTAACTGCAGGGAAATAACAAATATGTGTGTTTACATGAACGTGCATTTATTTATGTAGATGTTCTTTATTGCAGTTTGATCCAAACGGTTATTTATGGGCTCTAATTCATTTGATCTGTGTTGGTAAGTCATTTTCTTTTGGAAGAAGAATTAGGAAGAGTAAATGTGTTGGAGAAATCAGCTTTATTGTGAAGTTACTGATATTTAAGGTTCTTGATGTAAGAAACACTTGAAAAGAATGAAGTTTAGTAAATGTAAGAAAGTGCATTCCTTTTATAGCTCTTATGTTGAAAACAGCAGTAGAAAAAATTAGATATTATAGTCAGTTGACAGTGGATGAGAAAATGCACATACAGTTTTAATCAGCACTAAGCTTTTCTGTAAGTTTTTGATGGTTACCTATTAAGAGGCACTTCTTTTTGAGAGGAGAAGAAACATTAAAAAAGACAACCAATAACTTGTAGTTGGAACTTTACTGCACACACTGATTTTATTTAAAAATTGTCAAAAATATTCTAAAATATCATGGAATATGCTCCCAGAGGAGAGATGTTGAAATGTCAGGGCTTTTTATGCAATCATATGCATTTTTATTTTTTTTTTAATTTTAACAATGAGTTGCATAACCTGTCAGGTTTTATTTTGTCTCTTTCAGACTAAACATTGATTTGGATAAATCATAATTCTTCCCTGAAAAGCTAGAAACAGTCAGACACAGAAAATCTGAAGGCAACAAGAGTAGTAGTTTTTAACTGGAATATTTGTATCTTTTATAGCATTAAGCTGGATAATAAGGTTCTTAGCTGTCTATAGACTTAATGAGTGACTCATTCATATGTTAAGTCTTGTCTGCAAATTAGGGATGATTCCTTCTTTTTTTCTAATCATATTGTAAAATTTTCAGGGCAGCGGTAATGTGTTTATATGTGTTTGTGTCTAGGGACGTTGAGAGATCCCATTCTAACATGTTGTTAACATACAAATAAGAAGTATAATTATCTTTTCCTTGAGGAAAAGTTATATGGTAAACATTTGCTCATCTAGATAAAACAAAAAGCTAAGGATTTTTCACTGCAAATACTTGTTTGCTGTAATGGGTGGTATGTGTTCTCAAAGCCAAGAGGTCTTATTTGTAAAGCAGTGCCAGGAGGTGGAAAACTACTTGGAGAATCTTCAAGAGGCCTCTTCTGTGTACTTGCAACATGGAGGAAGTGCCAACATAATGTTTGTGCTCAAAGTATAGCTTCTTTCCATTTCTCTTGTTTTTGAGAGAACGTTTTTGATACAGCTGCTGGGTTTTTTGTGCAATTAGATTTCCTGTCAACAGACACAGAATAAAGGTATTACTAGAAAGGGCAAACAGATGAAGTAACTTACCGCACAGTTAATCAAGACAGAGTGTTAGGGAAAGGACATGTGTTCTACCCTTCAGTCTAGCGGAGGCAGAATTTAGGCCATGTATTACATAGTGTTCTACTGGATTTGCTTTTCATAGAATCATAGAATCATAGAATGGTTTGGGTTGGAAGGGACCTTAAAGATCTTCTAGTTCCACCCCCCCTGCCATGAGCAGGGACACCTTCCACTAGACCAGGTTACTCAAAGCCTCATCCACCCTGGTCTTAAACACTTCCAGGGAGGGGGCATCTACAACCTCTTTGGGCAACCTGTTCCAGTGTCTCACCACCCTCACACTAAAGAACTTCTTCCTAATATCTAATCTAAACCTACCCTCTTTCAGTTTAAAGCCATTCCCCCTAGTTCTGTCATTAACTGCCCTAACGAAAAGTCCCTCCCCAGCTTTCTTATAGGCCCCCTTCAGGTATTGGAAGGCCGCTATAAGATCTCCCCAGAGCCTTCTCTTCTCCAGGCTGAACAGCCCCAGCTCTTTCAGCCTGTCTTCATAGGAGAGGTGTTTTCATTTTCTGTTTTTCTCAAAAAAAAAAAAACCCCAAAAGAAAACAAAAAACCAAACCAAAGCCTTGAAAAAAGGGTCTGAAAAAATAGAGCCTGAAGCTGTGCTGTTCCTTCCTTGAGTGCTTAAAGCTTTTCCCAGAATAGAAATGGGAGCTAACCAAGAGGTGGCTAGGGTCAAGAATGTAAGGAACCTGGAGACCCTAGAGCTGAGAGAACTCTAACCAGGAAAGACAGCTTAAAGCCAACAGCTGTAGGAGTCTACACAGATGAACACATCGTAGAAGTTACCCAAAAAGTGGGGTGGGCTGCAGAACCCATTCTGCGACACTTTTCTGTGTGTATTTACACACACATGTACACACACTTACACACACAGTCCTTTGTAGTTGCTGTGAGCTAGGTGTTGTCCCTTCTTCAGAAGGGCTAGCATGACACACATAGCATGGCAGATAACCCTTGGAAGCAATAGGTTTGTTGTAGTCATGGTTTAGGCATCCTTTGTGCCGTGTTATCGAACTGTAATTTGGAGTGGTTCCGCGTCTGCCAGTGCCACAGCCAAACAAGCTGTCGTTTGTCAGAATGATTGTGTGTTATGGCGATTACATATGTCATTTCAATTACAGGGGTTTACAAAGTACTCCACAAGTTATGGAAACCTAGCTCTTTAAGGTAATGTGTTTTCATATTCTTTTAAAAAGAAAGAGATTGCTGTCAAAAAGGGTTAGAGACATCTGTGTAGCAGTCAGGTAAACTGTAGGGATCTCTGCATTATCAGGGTGAGCTGGGCCACTCTTGGTTAATCATTAATGACTTTTCTTGCAAGAGGAGCCTTATTTACTGTTGATAACAACAGCATGTGGTTATTGATAGTTATACTGTGAACTTGAACACTGAATTAGTTTTAAACAGTGTGTTATCAAAGGATGGTGACTCAGTCCTGCAAAAATAACCCCTAGTTACTGGTGGAGGCATTATGAGGAAATGTTGGTTTGCATTAACCTTGAAAGCTACATGGTTTGAATCTGTCAGTATCTCCCTTTGCAACACAGTCTCAAAAGTGTTTAGCAGCTGGTGGCTTGCTACAGGACTGGAATGGCCGAGTACCTTAAAAACCTTGAAAACTTGTGCTAATCCCCTGTGTGTGTGTGTGTGTGTGTGTGTGTGTGTTAGAAATTCAGCCAGACAACAGCTGTTTTGAAAGCAGGTAGCATTACATGTTTACATGGTGTATAATCTGCAGTTGTGTTGCCACTGCATATTATGTGTATGTACATAATACATGTGTGTATAGAATATGGATAAGCTCATTTATTTCAAAACCATTTTTGGTCTCTGTTTAGAGGGTCTAAATTTTACTCAGTCTCACTTTTTCTTCACTTTAAATGAGACTCCCACTGACATAATAACAACAGAAATAATGTGCAAATGATGGGTAAATTAATATGCTGATTAATACATTGATAATATTGTAATATTAATAGATTATAGTTATAATGCATATAATCATAATATAATGCTAGTATTACCTAATTATAATATAATGTTAGTATTACCTAATTATACTATTGTGTCATGTATTATATAATACTGATATTATGTAATATTACGGTGTTATAATACTACTTAATATATTGATCTCTTATACTAAATGAACTGCATTACTAAAATAACACCTTTTTTTCTTTCCCTCCTCTCTCAGTGACCTGGACCAACAGTACATCAACTATGTATTCAGGTAAAATAAATAAGCCTTTGATACACCATAGCTGGTTTTATGTGGTATCTGTTTTCATTTTAAACTGTGGCTTGTTTAGGAAACTCATAGCTACTGCTACTTAAATGTATTTATTTAGTGGGACATTCACTGAAAGAGCAGTGCTAAGCTGAGTGGTTTAGCAGCTGAATTTTTTTGCTCTGGTTATAGGTGGACATGCCAATATACACCTGGGAAGGTAACGAGGTGTTAATTAAGAATTTTTTAATCACCATATTCACAAGTGATCTATCATTTCCAGAAATAATATTTACAAAGTAACTCCCTGGCAATACCCCACTTCAGAAAATAAAACTTGTACAAAATTGCCAGAAGGGAAGGTAGTGATTACAAAAGTATGATGTGCAAAGAACATGAGCAGCAACTGATTGTTCAGAGTGCCGTTAGAGGGATTGAGTCATTCCGACTTTCAGTTATTTTTCTGATTTGGAGATATAAAAGTGGCTTGTATTTTGTAGTTAGTGAAAGAGCCTGAGTCACTGAGCAGATTCCTGTGTGGTTTTTTTATTAAAAAAAAAAAAAAATTCAGTAGTTTCCTCAGAGCACCATGTAAGCCGGAACATTCGGCGTGCATGGCTTCTGCTAGATCTTTGTGAGGCTTTATTTGAAGTAAGGCTTATAAAGACTTCACTAGATTCTCTTCCATCCATAATTACATCTTATATATGTTGGCCTGTTTTCTTGGAATGGTAGCTAAAGTTGTATGGGAACACTATGGAGTACGGATACTGAGTTCTAAGAAAGTATGGTCAAAAGGAATGAAAGAGAGAGCAGAAGTTAGGAATAAGTGTAACAGAAGTGAAGTTGTGCTTGTCCATTTGATTAGATGGATGTGTGCTCTTGTGTGACCACATTAAAGACCCTTGATAGGAACACATCAGGGACACCAGTGTAGGACAGTTACTTCAATTCCCATTTTCTTGTGAGCATCATCAAGGTGATAATACTGTGTATCTCTTTCTTCCTTAGTTCAATCAAATCTCCTATTTCCATAAATCAGTGATGCAGGCCTCTAACTTTGCATTTGTATGTTTCCAGTGTCTATTCAGCAGGGTCCCATGCGTTGACAATATCTGAATATCAGTTTGCTTTAAGTAAGCTCTTGTTTAAGTCATTGTTTTCCATCTACTATGAATTGCAAAGCAAATCAATTTTACTCAAAGAAGGTAGTTGTATTTACTAAAACTGTTTTGAAGAATTAGTCATGGAACTTGCAAATATGCTGCTGTGTGCAGGAGTATCCCATGAAATCCTGCATGAGCTGTAGCTATTTTTCTGTGTTGAAGGGAGAATCGTGAAACAAGCAGTAAAATCAATTGATTTTTCATTTGACACCTGTGTGACTGTGGCTCTCAGTTGTCATTTTAATTGAAAACTGTATCTGGGCCTGAGCCTTCAAATTCACATTTTGGCTGAAGGTCTTAATTTTGCAGCTTTCATTGAAAAGACAGGGCTGGGTTCCTGCTGTGTTAGTTGATGGTATCCTTTGAAGTCTGTGAAGTTGTGTCCAGCAGAGCGCAGGAGTTCCACATTACATGGGAAGTATGATTATGGATTTAGAGGCTTTTGAAAGGGAGAAACTTCTTGCTAAGGAACTGTGAGGTGCAGTGGTATGTATTTTAAAACAGGGTTTGGTTTGGTTCTTTTTTTTTCTTTTTAAAAAAAAAGAACAATGGAATTATGCAAATTGAAAGATGGCTTTTTTAGCATCTGCTTAAAAGTAAAAATGTGTTATCAAAGCTTGCAAAGATTTTCAGCATTTGAGAGCTTAAAGGTCAGTGTAGCTTGTGAGATGGTGGTGCAAAGCACTTGCTAGAAAACAGGTGGCTTAGCAGAGGCGGAAGACTGGATGCTTATTTGTTTGGCTTGGGTCTGTGGATATCTATATATGTATGTATGTATATATTTCTATGTGTTAGAGAAGCTCATGGTCCATAGCATTCAGAGCATCTTATCTAGGGAAAACAAACAGTACTATGGGCATTAGGATAAGTGGCATCTGATTTCTTTTAGAGTTTTGTTTTGTCCTAATAGCAGATGATGTTTGAAAGGGTGTGAAATTTGGCAGCTCTCTCCTTGTATGTGACCTCCATGACATGCCACGGCAATGAAGGTCTTCCACTGTCTAATGGGACTGAAATCTTTCTGCTGCTGAAGGCACTGGCAGGGTTTGTCTCTTTGTGAGACCTCTGCGCATGTAGTTATCTTGGGGATGACTGCCACTTCCCAAATTTGGATGAAGCTGGTCAGCGTGTTTGAGAGCTATGTAGAGCTACGTATGTGTGTGTATACACAGCTTTATTGCACAAGCTTAATTTCTGTAGAAAACAGTCAAAAGTATTTTTAAGTCACACTGAGTAAAGGACACTTTACTCTGAATGTTCTCTGAATGAACACTAACTCCTCACAGGCAGTTATGGGTCAGAATTACCGTAAATGTGTGCTTATCTCTGTCACAGGACACCCAGCACTAAATTTTGTGATTTAGCAGGTGTTAAGATATGTGCTGCTTCCTTTATTCAGGGCTTCTCAAGGACTGTTTTGGCCATGACAGGATCCCAGTTCCACCTTCAGAACAAGACAGAGTAACGTGTACCAGTGGTCTTGTCTGAGCATGGTTCTATGATGCTGTGATTTATGATGGAGCTTGCTAGTGTGCTATCAGTGCAACTCTCTCCTCTCAGCACTATTATCAGCAGGCTTTTTTAGCTCCTTATTTCTAACCTAGATCAGACAGCTGACATGTAGCTGTGCTGGGAAAAGAAAACAGCTCTGTGGGCACAACCAGATAGTGTTTAGAATCATAGAATCATTTAGGTTGGAGAAGACCCTTAAGACCATTGAGTCCCACTGTTAACCTAACATTGCAAAGTCCACCACTAGATCATGTCCCTAAGCACCACATCTACACATCTTTAAATACCTTGAGGGATGGTGATTCAACCATTCCCTTGGGCAGCCTGTTTCAATACTTTGGTGAAGAAATTTTTCCTAATATATAGGAAAATATACAGGTTTGCTATAATAGAGGCTGTTCAAAGTGTTTCTGTTCAGTATGAAAGCACAGTTTTACTCTGAGAATAGAGACTGCCTGGATAGAGCAGATTAAAAGTTCTGCCCCAAGCTACTGGATGTTAGAATGTACCAGTATGTTACATTAAAAACATACATATTTAGATTAAAAAGAAACATTAACTGTATTGGCTCTGTTGGACACTTCCAGAGGTGCAACTGAAATTAGCAAAGTATTCTAACATATGCTGTCCCTA